GATCCCTCTTGCTCCTTTTGGTCCCCTGAGCTCACCAGGAGTGGTCCCTGAATGCAGAGCCAGATTAATTCCTGATCATTGCTGGGTGTGGCCCAAAGACTAAAACAAAACAAAACAAAACAAACAAACAAAGAAAATACCCCCCCCCCCCCCCCAGCTCAGAAACTTATTTCTTACAGATCACTGTATCACTGTCATCCCATTGATCTTCGATTTACTCCAGTGGGCACCAGTAACATCTCTACTCCTCTCAGCCCTGAAATTTTAGCAGCCTCTTCTTACTCGTCTTTTCCCAATGATTGGAGACTCTTTAAGGGCCAGGGGAATGAGACTTATTGTTGTTACTGTATTTGGCATGTCAAATACGCCATGGGGAGCTTGTCAAGCTCTATACATCTTACAGAAGTATAGGCTAAATGTTCAATGTCAGATTTGGGCTGTGGTGAAGTCTCTCTGGCTTATAGAGAGCTATGTTGTCTTCCAACCTTTCCTCTACGTGTTGCAGAAAGAAATGGAATGTGGAATAAAGACTGACATAGCTTCTAGTGTCTGGTCTCTTACAAAGATATTAATCAGAACTGATTAGAACCCCTTATGAAGACTTCTGTTTAAAGGAGAACTCTTATTTACAGTGATTCAATTAATAAAAGGGGGGGAGCAAACTCCCCTTGGCATACCCAATATGCCAAATACCAGGCTCCTAAAGAGCCTTGAATATAATCTCAGGGCTAGGATGAAGGAGACGTTACTGGGGCCTGCTCGAGGCAATCGACGAATAACAAGATGATTTGTGATTTTGTGATTTGTGAATTAATAAAAATTCTTGGGGCAGAGGGGTAAAGTTTGCACCCAGTGATTCTTGGCTGGCTTGTCTGACATTTAAATGGAAGACCCACGGATATAGCACTGCTGACAAGGGATGACCCAGCAGTCCCAGTCATACTCTGTGATGCTGAGGGGACCATGTGATGTAGGGATTGAATTGGATACTGTGTGCAAGATGTCACTTTTCTATCTGTCTGGCTCTAGGAAAACTCGTTTTTAAAGGAAAATTACTAATTCTGGGACTTGAGAAATTGCATTTATGTTATTATTGACCCCCAATTAATTTCAGTCTCTTCTTCACTCTGTACTTACGACTCATTTCTCTCTAGTTGAAGTTTCATGGACCTTACTTACAAGCCTAAAACCAAGCATGATTTCCTTAATCTAAATTTATATTAGCTACTTAGTAAACACAGTTACTTAGTTCCAAAACCTTCTGAATATTTCTTTTGTATGCCATACCAATCTCCAGTGAGTCCTATAGATCCCCTTTGAAATGTATCTCAAATTTCTTCATATATAATTGCTGTCCTAGAATAAATCTTCCAAGAAATCATCTGTTCTCACCTGGATAACTGCAATACCCTTCTGATGGTGTCTGTCTCTTGGCCCAACCTCTTTTTATTTTTTAAGATTTATTTTTATTTTATTTTCAAAGAGTTGTTTACAGTAATTGATTACATTCAATATCCCAACACCAATTCCACCACCATTACACCTTCCCACCACCATTATTCCTAGTTTTACCACCACCATCCAAGCCTGCCCCAAAGGCAGATGCTAAATAATTTATTTTATATTGCTTCCAACCTCTTTTTTAAGCATAACCAAGATTACTATAATTTCATTGCTTAAAATCCAGTCATCTCATCAAAAGTCCTATCTACATCTCTGATTTCATCTTTTTTTTAAGTGTACTTTCACACTCCTCCAGCTACACTAGATTTACACAAATAGAAGTAATCAGTTTTTTTTAGAGCGGGACAGGAGGTTATGAAGATGTTATGTAATTACCTTAAGATCACACAGGATAGGACAGTCATAAAGATACCATAGTTCATGCTTCTAACTATTGTTTATTTTTTTTAATATTTAAAAAGAGTGCTGTTGAAAAAATATTGGAGCTGTTATTGACGATCAAAGAAGTTTTTGTTACTTCTTTCTCAAATTCCAGTGTCAACCATCTCCTTCTCAGTTCCTCCAGTCTTTCCCTTATCTATTCCTCTAATAAACCAGTAGCAACACTTTATTATATTTATTTGCTTGTATTTCTAACTTTCCACTTACATTAATAGTTTTTAAGGATTGTAATTGATTCAACTTTGAATCACTAGATGAGTACTCTGTATATAAGCAGCAGTTTTTGTTGAATGAAAAAAATAATTAGTTTTTTAGGATTGCCTTATAGTGGAATCGTTTTACTGTGAAGTAATGAGCCTCTGGTCACTGGCATTATTCAGGTATGGACTTAATGCTGTAAGAATATGGATGGAACGCTAGGAAAGGAATTTTTATGACTCGTGGAAATGGAAGCTTAAACCAGGTTTTCTTCTAAGTCTTATCTCATCCTGTAGTCAGTTAATTTCAGTTAATTATGGTTCTTCATTTATCACACACTATGTACCTTGCATTGTTGTAGGCTCTGAAGATGTATAGAGAAGAGTCATGTAACATGTATGCATAAGGTGGTAAGAGCCAGAGAATAATAGACTCTATGAAGCTAAGACTACATGGATAGACTTTTAATTATCATTATTATCTATAAAACATAATATTTGTGTATTGTTTACATTGTATCTGGTATCATAAGTATTTAGATATGATTAAATTATATAGGAGGATGTGAATAGGTTATGTATAATTATAAAAGGTAAAGCCCCTCCCGTTGATCGTCGATTTGCTCAAGCGGGCCCAGTAACGTCTCCATTGGAGACTTTGTTGTTACTGTGTCTGGCATATCGAATACTCTTGGTAGCTTGCCGGGCTCTCCGAGAGGGGCGGAGGAATCGAACTCGGGTCGGCCATGTTGGCCGCTTGTAAGGCGAACGCCCTACCGCTGTGCTATCGCTCCAGCCCCATGTATAATTATGCCTTTTATAAAATATTTAAGCTCTTCAGAGTTTGGTCTATTAGAGGAGCCTCTTTGGCTACTGAAAAATACAGGTATAAAGGAGACAAAAGTATAGAGAAAGGAACAGATTTCAGGGATAGTTCCTTCCCACTTACTGGAGAAGGAAGAAAAGAATCAGTTGCAAGTGAGGAGAAACAAGATTTTAGAGCTGGCCCTAAAATTGCCAATCTGAGAAGGAAAAATTTGGAGAGTCACAGCCACAGCATATCATTAATGGGGAATTAATGATAAAGCTAAATATCAATGTTTGAAATCAGATATAGTTCTAAAAGTAATTCAGCAGAGATTCATTTGTGAAGTTTTTAAAAGAAATTCAATAAATGAGCCTTCTCTTTATTAGTCTCCAAAAATAGAAAAAGGTTATCAAGTGTTTAGCCATCCCCTTCCCCCCACTCCCTATTCTCCTTTCTGAACTGGCAAGAGGTACTAATATAAAATGGGTGTCCATTAAGTCATGAAGTTCACCTAAAAGAAAATTTTCTGGAAACTAGAATGTGGACCTTAATAGGTAGAAAGATGCCCTTTAATTTCTTTTCTAATTTGTATTCCTAGAATGTGTTGTGACGAGGGTCTTTTTATCTTACCCCAGTAATGGTCTCTTTTTATACTAACCTTATCTCTCACACTGCTCATCTTTCACTCATGTCCAAATATGTTCTTGACATGCCATCATTCTTTCTAGCTGGGACATGATGCCTAGGTAGGCGGGGAATTCCCCTGTTTTGTTTGAAATCATAATTGTCTTTGGTTTGGCTAGCATGTTCATAATTAGTTTACTGACAATAGTTTTTTTTCCCCTTTATACCATATGCCATTCCATGATTCATCTGCTTTGAGTATGTTGCCTTGAAGGTGAAACAATTCCTTCCAATGTTGATATTTTGTAATCTCAGAGATAACAAGCAAACACATATGCATAGTTCCTTCAGAAGTTTTAAACATTTGGGGATGAATGAATTATGCTGCCACAAATGAAAAAGAACAGTATAAAAACCTTAACTGTGATATCCAGTCGTCTTTTGGTGGATGGATGAATGGATGAACACTAATTAATTTTACTATAAATTTTCTCTTCAAGAATTGTTTGTGGTATATTTATTTACTTATTTATATATATTTAAATATATTGTTGCATATATAATTAAGTAATAATATGTTTAAATATATTATTAACTATATATTCATATGCATTATTTATGCATTTAAATTTCAACATTTTACCTACATTTTTCTGATTTATGTATATTTGTGTGGGGGGGTGGATTTTGAGGAGCAAATCCATGGTCTTCTACGTGCAAAGCTTGCTCTCTCTATATTCCTATCCTTCACATAATCTTTGATATAGTATTTTGACAAGATCTTTGTAAGATTTAAATTCCAAATAGATCATAATAGTCAGTTTATATTGTAAAAGGACATTCTTCCTATATTTAATGTATGTCAATGAACACTAAAATTTGAAGAAATCTTTTAATTTGTAAATAATAAATCTTTCAAAATATTTAAACACGGGGCCGGAGCGATAGTACAGCGGGTAGGGCGTTTGCCTTGCACGCGGCCAACCCGAGTTCGATTCCCAGCATCCCATTTGGTCTCCCCAGCACTGCCAGGAGTAATTCCTGAGTGCAGAGCTAGGAGTAACCCCTGAGCATTGTTGGGTGTGACCCAAAAAGGAAAAAAAACCAAAATATTTAAACAGGATGCTTTGCAGTTTCATATGCAAGGCAGTTATTTCTGCATATTTCTTTCTTAGAAGAGTAGTAGGCTTTTGGTAAACATGAACTAAATTAGGTTTTTGCATTTGGCTTTAATCAATCTTTAATCAGTGCACTTACTGTGTCACATCATTTAGTCACCTGTATTTTTTAATTCAGTATTTGAGTGATCAGGTTTTTTTGTTTTGTTTTATGATAAAACTTTATAATTTCTTGAGGTAAAGGTATGTGTAAATATCTGTATAAGATATACATTTAGAGAGAACTTTTTAAAGGATTCTAATTCTAATTGTATCTTCCGCCCTGCCTCTTGCTTTACCTTGTTTTAGCTCCTCTTTGGTTCAGGTGTGCTCGTGTCCCTAAGCCTTGCTGGGCCTCAGCTGGAAAAAGTGGTGATCGACAGAAGCTTGGTGGGGAAGCTCATCTCAGACACCATCAGTGATGGTAATTACCCCTGTGTGCAAATCAATTGCCTGCATTAACAGTGGGGCAGGAGAAATAGTGTGTCAACAGGTAGACTAATTATTACCACTGGGGACTTGCAAACACAAGTAATTGCTTGTAATAGCATAGTCACAACCCTGGGGACTAATACAAGTTGGAACTAATACTTAATGTTAAAGTTTTTTTTTTTTTCACATACTAGGGTCACATACTGAGTATTTTCTGCTCTTAAATGTGAAAGTATTTTCAAAATACTTTCTTTCAAGATACTTTCTTATTAAGTTAATTAGAGGAAGTATGGTCTAGTGGAAAGGACAGAGGAAAGAATACAGACACCTTCTGCTGTGTGCTCTCACAAACTACCTTACAATAAATCAGACACAATCTGATCATCCTAAATTTCAAAATACTTTCAAGGTATTTTCAAGTATTTTTGTTGTGTTCTTTAAAAATCAGTCTCCTGTTGTTGGCATTTTAAGTATTTTACATTTCCAAGTACATCTTAAAATGTGTCAACATGCTACCAGTAAAATAAAAATGTGTCTGTCTCTTAAGATTATTGGTTATGAAAGTTTGTGAGCACTTCTAGAAAGTTTAAGCAATAATTTTAGATACTAAAACCCAATGATTTTTTCAAATATTTATTAAATATACTTAGATAAATCTGAATCATATTAAGTGACATCACAACCATGACAAAAATACATGAGAAAAAATTTAAAGATTTATTGAAAGGGAAAAACAATAATACTAATATTATTGAAATCTAAAAGTTTCTTTGCTCCACCAGCTTACCCTTTTCATATAATTCAGAAAACAACTTGATAATGTACAGGCTTTTTTTTAAATTTCATTTAATAGATAAGGAAATTGAAGCTGGGTTGCTAAGGAAGATACCCATGATATTCTAGGAAACATCTCAAAGAATGACAGCTGAGGTTTCAACTCAGGTTCTAGCTATAAGTCCCATTTTCTTCCCATTATGCTGTAGCAATTTCTGAAGTTTTAAGATTTTGTTCTACTATTCTAGGCTAAGATAGTCAGAGACAGAGATTGTAGTATTCTTAGTGATTGAACATTGTCAGCATATTAAATTACTTAGAGGAAGTGTGGTCTAGTGGAAAGAACAGAGGTATGAATACAGACACCGTCTTCTGCTTTGTGCTCTCACAAGCTACCTTTGAATAAATCAGACACAATTTCATCATCCTAAAGAAAAGCACCCTGTAGGATGGCTATAATTAACAACATTCCTGATGATATGCTGGAGGTAGGATTAAAGGTGCCATTTCCTTTTCCTTACAAAAATATGGTGCTGAGGAGGCTTGTCTATGAAAAAGGTTCCATTTTCATGTCTAATAATTGACTCTTTCACTGACACTGTAAATAAAATAGTGACTGTGATAATTTTGTCATATTGGTGATGTTTCCTTACAAGAATTAAAAGACTTCCAACACTATTCATGTTTCTGAGATATCTTTTTTCACTTGTTTCTTTTATTTATACCCCAAATAATACATTCTCATGAGACCACGATAACAATGTGATTTCTTGGCAGTTTTCCAGATTCTTCTGTAATTGTGTAGATCTGCTGTTGGTTACTGCTTACACAGCTAGGGGTGTGGAAGTAAAGAAAAATAGAAAAATCATTTAATAATTTCTTTAAGAAACAATATAAAAATTCTCAAATTGAAATAATTATGTTTTTATTAATTTTATATACCATTAACGACTCCATGACTTGAGTGCTTTAGAAATAAAGCTGCAGGAATATTTACATTGTTAAATATTAATATTCAGATGCACAGTTGGAATAATATGCTTTAGTTCATTGTTTATATACTCTCAAGAAGGTCGATTAAAATATTTAAATTAAAAAATAAGATTTTTGTAAAAAAATAAATGATCCCTTAATACAGTTCTCAGATCATTTATGTTATATGAATACAGGGTGAAAGGCTAACACAGATAAAAATAAATGTTTTAATTTTTGTATTAAGTTGTGAAACAACCTATATAAGTGTGCTTTTTTTTATTAAACCCAATTTTCAACTATCTCCAAACACTCATATTGAATATATAGGAAAAAAGGAAAATATTTTAAACCCATGATATATTAATCATTAGTATTTTATTCTTAGTATTCGATGGCATCATTGATCTTTATTTTTTTTCCTTAGCTCTTCTCACAGACAACTTTATCATCTTATCATTTTTGGCACAAAACAAACTATGTTTTATTCAATTTACCAAGAAGATGGGTTCTCCTGAGATAAATAGAAGACTGGAAAAACTCTCATCCCTGGATTATAAGGTAGAGATTTCAATGTATATGTCATTATTATTTAGTTAGTTTTGTTGGCATATCACGAGTTATATGATGTTTATTATCCTTGAGCATTATAGGTTTCAGTTTGATTAAGTAGAAATAGTTGCCATACCAACTTTTGTTGTTCTTGATTACTTTTTGTTAGGGGGAACAAACTAAGGCATATGGGGCATAGTGGAGAAATTCACATGATTATTGTAGAAGTATAACAGATAATAAAGGCATTTTACGCATTTGAAAAATGATTTTGTTGCTAGAGTACATATACAATCTCCCCAGTTTCCCTTAAAGCACCCACATCATTTTTCTAGGCTAGTCTAGCTACTCTAGCTTCCATTTCACAAGAAAGGCACGCACTTTCAAAGATTAATAGTAAAGTGTAATAAATAAGAAATGGAAAGACACCCCCCGCCAGTACCAATTTCCAACTATAGCTGGAAAAAAATGCAAAAAGAAATCTTCATGTGCTAGTATCTCTTCCTTCACTAACTCCAGGTAATTTGTTTCCTTGTATCAGGGACTTTATATCTGTTAAGGAAGGATTTTTACTTTAAATGATGTGTTTAATTTAAGTTTTGCCACATTACATTTTAACTGCTTGGAAGGCATACTCTCTGCTAGGATGAGTATCTAATACATTTTCCAGGCTGTTTCAGTTCAGGGCCTCTTTTCAGCAATGACTTGTGTTTGCAAGATTGATCCAGCCTCTGTGACGTGGATTTGAGACAGTTCACTGTTCACTGGGAACAGAGCTGATATACAGCTTCCTTAAAAAAGATGCACACTTATAGCATACTTAGAGTTTCTATAGCGAGGGCAAAGAATTTTAGAAATCAGCTTTGTGCCTTGAAACTTCCTATATGTGTCTTTTGAAATAGTAGTATTTAATCTAACTTTTGCTCTTTGGTATTATTCCTTACTATAATTGAAGTGTTAGGTGAAGGCATGATTTAATTTTTGCTTAGTAGAAAGATCCATTCTAGGGGCTGGAGAGATAGTACAGTGGGTAGAGTGCTTGCCTTGTATGCGGCTGACCTGGGTTTGATCCCCAGTATCCAACATGGTCCCCTGAGTTCTGCCAGGAGTAATTCCTGAGTGTTGAGCCAGGAGTAACCCCTGAGCATTGCTGGGTATGACCGTCAAACAAACAAACAAAAAGACCCATTCTAGTAGGGAGGATTTAACATGGAATAAGATACATTATTTCTTCTTTGTGGTAATAAACTTCAGTTTGATTTTGTTTGCCATTTTAATGAACATTTTATGATAGTATTTTGTATAATACTGGTTTTTAATTGGAAATCATCAACAGTATAATATATTGTATTTTTAAAGGGCTGGAGCAATAGCACAGCGGTAGGGTGTTTGCCTCATGCACAACCAGCCCGGCCAAACCAGGTTTGATTCCTCCCCCTGCCCCCTCGGAGAGCCCAGCAAGCTACCGAGAGTATCTCGCCCACACAGCAAAGCCTGGCAAGCTATCTGTGAGGTATTCAATATGCCAAACACAGTAACAAGCAGTCTCAAAATGGAGACGTTACTGGGCCCGCTCGAGCAAATCGATGAACAACGGGAGAACAGTGTTTGTTTTTGTTTTTATTAGTTTAAAAATTGCATTAACGTTCTTAATGAGATGTTATTTTCTAGAATGACTAACTGTAGACTTACTTGAAGTATTTATTTACTACTAATGCATGCATCAGATTGTGGAGGGGAGCTTTGGGTCTACTCCCTGGGATGCTCAGGGACTTTCTCTGGACTCGTGCTCATGACCCCTGTCAGTGCTTGGAGAATCATGTGTGCTTCTGGGGATGAGTGGGCAAGAAGCAAGACAAGCACCTTAACCCCTATGCTCTCTCTCTCTTTGGCCTCTAATTCACCATTTAAATGTTTTTAATGCTTTATAAAAAATTGCATGTGACTTATTTTGTTCTCTTGGGTGTGGTAGATATCTTGGTAGAGTGTTTTCAGCTGAGCAATAGTAGCTACTGCTACCACTAATAATAGTTATTTCAGTAATCACAATGACAACAGAAAGTATCAGAATGTTCTTATGAAAATATGTGGAAAATAAACCTAATATATGGGCCCTTATACCTTAACTAAAGGAGTTACTAATTAGCTTGTTCTTTTTTTGCCTTCAAATTAGAAAAATTAGATGTATTGTTTCTCCATGACCTTGTTTTTTTCTGGGTGGGGGCGCATTCATATCTGGCAGTACTCAGGGGATACTCCTGGTTTGGTGCTTAGTAGTTCCTTAGCGGTGGCACTTAGTGAACCTTATGAGTACTGGGTTTGTATCTGGCTCAGCCACTTAGCCCTTGAACTGCATCCAGCCTTACTTTCTCTCTCCCTCACTCCTTCTCTTCCCTCTCTTTCCCGCCCCGCCCCCCACTCCCCCAACCCCACACCCCCTCCCCCAGTCTCTTTTAAACTGGAGACTACACTCATAGGGTGGAGGCATTTTCAATGACACAGCCTGAACAGCACTAGGACCCAGTGTTGTCTGGAGACTGTCAGAGCTACACCCAGGGATACTGAGGATAGGAAGGAGAGTCAGTATTTGGTGCTAAGTATTGAACTCAGTATTTGGTGCTAAGTATTGAACTAAGGTTCTCACACATGTTATGCAAGTCCTCTTACTTTTTAAAGCTATCTCTCTGGCCCTCTGGGATCTTTTTATTTTATTTTAAAAGAAAAGTAACAATTTTCAAAATAAAAAGATACATGATTATTTTGATTATGAAAATCACACCTAATAATTGATATTAACTTGAGTAGCAAGTGTAATTCTTATTGCATTATAGTCCCTTCACAAAGAACCCATTTCAGTCCATAGCATTTTTCTACATTACAGAAGTATCTTGCTTCCCTCTGGCAGCCCATGAATTTCATTTTCTGGTTCATTATTTAAAATATAGACATTTAAATCCTAGTAAACACTGCCATTTGCCCATTGGAAGAATATTTTACAATACTTGATCATTTTATTTGGCCATCATGGATAGATTCTGATGTCATTACAACTCACAGGAAACATGAAATTTCAGATAACATCCATGATGTGAATTATGTGATTATTAAATGTGCCAGTTTTTTGTTTTACATTTATTTCTTTAGCTAGGAATTCATAATACATTTACATGGCAAGTAGGACATTAAAATAATGTATATGTAATTCAAAGGACTTGGTATTAAGTCTACTGTGGCATTTCTCTCAAATAAAACGAATTAAAATAATGGGAATTACATATAAAAATTTTAACTTCAAAGTATATAGTCTATCTATATTGCCTGTCATTGACCATTTTTTGTATTTTAAAACAAGGAAATAATATAATGTTTTAACTCTGCTTTTCTTCACAGCTGTACCATAATGTAATTCTTTCAGATTGAAATAATTTTGGTAAAGAAAATTACAGGGTAAATATCCTGAAACTGTTGACCTTTAACAAGTTTTTCTGTCTACATTTTAAAAATCAAATTCAATTTATTTGACAGTGAAGGGACAGTGCAAGGAGTTAAATGTTTACCATGAGAGAACAACACTGGTAATTACTTTGATTTCAGTTCCTTTTGATGTGCATTCAGAGGATGAAGAGGTCAATAATATTATGGCCATGCAAATAGAAAAGGGTTCCTTTTGACCATATTAAAAAAATAGCAGAGGATTATTAAAGCATTAACCTTGATTTTAATGGTCTTGGTTGAGTGGTGAGATCACAATTTGGATGAGCCTGATTATTTACTAAATACAATACATAAATGCAACGGGTTCTTAACACCCATTGCACTCTGGCATTATCGCATTACTGCCATCCTTTGTTGCCTTGCAGACAGGAATATGAAAGCAATCTGTCATGTAGTGAGACTGGCTCCAGAAGCATTTCTCTGATAAGAAGACCCCCTGCCCTTTGCTAGTGTCTGGTCCAGTAGGCTTAGCCATGCGCTTAATCCCCAGAAAGTGGTTCGATTATTGCTGACCAGCAATGGCAAGATAGTTTTTTTTTTCTTCCAAGCTATCAACCTTCCATTAATTCCTTAAGCAGAAATACGGTGCAATCTATATTTCCTTGGCATGTGTCACCCAGATGGTGCCGTGCTTATGTTTTCAAATAACCATGTTCCAAAATAACATAGTTTGAATAATAAATTCTACAAATCCTCCCTAAGAAAGAGAAGCATAATTCTCAAAAGCTGCATAAACTTTTACGCATGATGCTGTGGCTTATCCCTTTATGCAGAATATATGTATATGTCTCCTATATTTTTAAAGTGATGTTTGCCTCAAGTTGTTTTTCCTTTTATTGTTGTCAGTCATTGTTAACGTGTTATGTCTTAAACCGTAGTCAGACACTCTTGGTCAGCAGTACTGAACTTGTCATTTAATACAGTCAATCTTAAATTCTGTGTGTAGGTTGGAGCCATGGTTTCTGTCCAGCAGCCATGCTGTATAGTGTGTTATTGATTGGGATTGCTACATCTAGTCTCTCCCTAACACACGTTTCTTCTTTTCCTACCCTCTGCTTAAAATGGGGGAGAATATTGAACATATGTCTTTTTTATATATGTGTCAAAAGAGTTTGGGAAATTCTGATGCCTTCTTAAGCACATATTTAATATACATATTTATTGCATTTATCTACATTTACCAGTGCTTTGATTTTCATAATACTTTTAGGATTTCACCTCTTTAAAAATTATGACGTGCTTCTTTTCTTTACTGTTAGATTTCCTATTGTGAAATACCTGGCCCAGTAAACAGAACAACAAAGCGTCATCTTGCAGTCAACTGTGCTCAGGATATGGTGGTTTGCTGGTGGCCACTCATGAGTGATGATGCTTGGCCTTGGGCCCCCGTTTCTTCTGAGCAGGACAGAGCGAATCTTCTGCTCCTGGGTTATGCTCAAGGAAGACTGGAGGTAAATCTAAAGCAAGTAGATTTTATTCAAGGACAAATAAAATCACTAGTTTTCTATTGTAAAATAAATGTGAATAATTTTTAAAAACCTAGAATTTTTTTCTAAATATTCAAGCAGGTAAATTCCATATGAAATGGATTTCTTAAAAGTGTTATATCTATAGGCCACACCAACAATTCTATGACTGGCTTGGATAGCATAGTGATTAAGAGCACAGGCCTCCAGACTGGAGAGATAGTACAGGGGTATGTGCCTGACCCAGGTTTAAGCCCCAGCACCAGCACCACATGACCTCCTGAGCATCACTAGGTAGGCCCTGGATACCCTTGAACAACATTAAGATGGTTTTGCTGGTCCCCAGCACTGTAGGACCCAAGCTCTGAACTGCCATCCTGATTGGCAGGGTATCACTAGGAAGGCCCCAAGGCCTGCAGAGGTCCATCTGGGAGACAGCCTGTCGAAAATAAGCACAGGCTCTGCGTTCAAATCCAGCCTGCTACTACCTAGCTCTCTGTACTTACTAAGGTTATTAGCTTTTATTTCGTATGAATTTAGTATTTGAATAGTAAAATTAACGAAGAGAGGCAAATGGATTAATGCATGTACTTAGAGCTTTACCTTCATAAAGTAAACTCCCAGTCAGTGATGGCTATGTGAATCTTACTGTTATCATTGTTAGTATTATCATTACTGTTTGTATAGGATTTCATGCCTATCAAATCTATGCTATTAATCACATTCTCCAAATTTCACTTAATCAGTTAATAAACATTAGTCCAATGTCTCTTTTGGAGAAGACCCATGGCTAGGGCAAGAATTATCAAAAGGCTCAACCAAAGGAACCAAAACAAAAAATATTACCTTATTTATTTCTGACTCTGTTTTTGTCATCCTTCATCATTTTGAATTCATGTGTACTTTCAGCTTATACCAGTACTTTGAGTATGAAAATCTATCTTTTATAACTTAAAAACAATTCCTTCTGTTTTAGAAAAGCCTTCACTTGAATAAAATAGTTCCTTCCTTCCCTCCTTTTTCTTTCCTTACCTCCTCCCTCCTTCCCCCATTTCACTCCCTCCTTCCCTCCCCACATTCAAGATTCAGCTGCTGAGTGGCCTAAAGTAATGTTTCTTCCTTTTCCCTAAATTTGTTATTCTTAGATTTAGAGATTCTTAAAGTTACTATTCTGATATAATTTAATAAGTTTATGTTTTCTCTATTCTTTCCTAATTCGCCTGGCTTTATGACCCTTTAGACTGTTCAAAGACTGAATAATTTTTAGTTTCCTTTCAGAATTTTTTCAGTTTTGTGGCAACAATTAAAATACTTGCAATGTTTCATGTAAGATTTTGTGATGCCAAGAAAGTGCTTTTTTTTGTAGGATAACATTGGTTTGTCCTTTCTGCCTTGCCACAGGGAGCTTAGGTTTATTGGGTTACTCCCATCACAGTGCTCCCATTCCTCTGTTTACTTGTAACTTTTTTCTTTGTGCTCTGTTGGAGCGATAGCACAGCGGGTAGGGCGTTTGCCTTGCACGCAGCCAACATGGCCGACCCGAGTTCGATTCCTCCGCCCCTCTCGGAGATCCCCGCAAGCTACCGAGAGTATTCGATATGCCAGACACAGTAACAACAAAGTCTCCAGTGGAGACGTTACTTGGCCCGCTCGAGCTCTGTTAACTTGTAAATATTGTTTTTCTCTTCTCCTTAAGTGCTTTGCATAGTTAATTCAGAGTAATGTCCTTTTTGTATGGGCACAAGAAGACAGTTAATGCTAAGCTTTTGTAACTTGGGAGTTAATTGACTTCAGATAATATTACCTCCAGGTCATCTGTTTTCTTGACCTAAGCCTCAGTTGCCTTCACTTTCTAGCACCCCAAAAGCAGGCTCCCCAGCGAGGGCAAGCTGTGAGTTATATGCTACCCTGAGATCGAAATAGGCCTGGCCAAAGTGCCATATGCTTAACTCTAAGTTAAGAGCATGGTCATGGACAAATGCTGTCATGATTCAAAAAGCAATAACTAAATTCAGACCCTAGTAGGTTTAAGAATGATTAATCCGGCCTGAGCACTGTTGTCTGAGTCTGTGACGAGATGTCGCCTGTAGAGCCACCCTACAAGCTCAATATATCTCTTGCTATGTCCATACAAAATAACTAATATTAAGAAGTAGAGTTAAGATGTTAATTAAAATTATAGGACTGAGGAGAGCAGATACACCCCACGTGGTATTTTGCCCTTGAGTAGAAGAAGGGCTTTTGATATGTTGATTTTGCTGCAGGACAGGGTGTGGTGACTATACTCCAAACAGAGAGTTGGAGAGAGATGAGAGAGAGACCAGGGCAGCAGGATGGAGTGTGGAGAGACTAGCAAGGGGGGCAGAGAGAGAAGAATGTAAGGGAAGAATGCAGGAGCAGGCATGGGGAGAGACAAGAGACCAGGCTGCAAGTGGGAGCGTGGAGAGATGAGCAGAAGAGACAGGAGGAGATGGGAATGATGGGCAGTGTGAGACTAGAATGAGGGGCTCAGTGAGACTGGAACAGGCATGTGGGGAGAATGGAATAAACAGCAACTGATCATCTACCAGTCTGGCCCTCGTTTCTTCCTTCATCCGCCCATGGCCTGGGCCTCCCCAGGTGGGGGAGGAGCCCAAGTTCACCAAATGCGGGAGGTGAGAGGGAGAGCTTCCCCTAGCTGCCTGGAGATTATACACATTTTATTCCTATTTAATTTCACGTTCATGTCCACCATTTTATTGATTTATTGATCTTAGGTCCAGATGCTGAGTAAAAGACTTCACCAATGTGACTTAATGTAATAAAATAATTATAATTTTGTTAAATGTTCGATAGCACAGCGGTAGAGCATTTGCCTTGCGTGCAGCCAGCCTGGCTGAGCCGGGTTCGATTACTCCGCCACTCTCGGAGAGCCCGGCAAGCTACCGAGAGTACCTCACCCACACAGCAAAGTCTGACAAGCTACCCATGATGTATTCAATATGCCATGCCAAACACAGTAACAAGTCTCAAAATGGAGACGTTACTGGGCCCGCTTGAGCAAATCGATGAACAACGGGAGGATAGTGTTTGTTTAAATGTTCAATCTTAATATAAAAGAAAAATAGCCCACCATTAGTGGTGTCTATATTCAGAGGAGTACAACATGAAACAAAGACATCTTTCCTGAAAGCTGATGCATGACATCTCTTGGTACTGTCTACTCATGGACCTCAGAGTGGGACAAACCTGGGTTTGCCTTTTGGTTTGGCCAAATATTATGTGACTCTAATAAGTCTTTCTTTAAGCTTCTAGCTGCTTTTAACTAATTCTATGTCTGTGACCTTGGGTAGACTGCCTGGCTTTAGTTTTCTAGCTTTTAAAATGGTATATTTAAGGGACTAGAGAGATAGCTATAAGAGAGATACAGTATGTGCTTTGCATATGAGAACCTCAGGTTTTATTCTCAGTATCACATGGTCCTCTGAGCATCGGTCCCTGCGCCAAGCATAGTCCCTGAGCAACTCCAGATGTTACTCCTAAACAAACAAAATAAAGTAAAATGACAGTTTTAATGCTCAAGGGCATAACTCAGTGATAGTGCATAAGCCTGGCATGGCCCAGCCCTTGGGCAGTGAGGGGAGTGGGGGGTTGGAAGATGAAAACAAAAATGATAGGTTTAACAAAATGGGTCACCTCCAGGTACATGGAAACTAGAAAACATACTTGTCTAGAGTCTGAAGCACAGATCTAATTTAGCTGTTTCTTGCTCACATGTTCTAAAGCAAAACTCAGCCTTAGTGCCGAGATATGTATCTTGATGAGCCCTTGAAGTACCTTTCTATTGTATTTTTTACAAACCTCTATTCTGTACAAGTGGTTTACTTACTATTTCATTCATTCATTCATTCATTCATCATCCTGTTAATCGTCGATTGCCTCGAGCAGGCCCCAGTAACGTCTCTTTCATCCTAGCCCTGAGATTATATTCAAGGCTCTTTAGGAGAATGAGACCCATCATTGTTACTGGTATTTGGCATATTTGGTGCGCCACGGGGAGTTTGCCAGACTCTGCCCTGTGGGCAGGCTATATTCGCTAGCCTGCAATTTGTCCAGAGTAGGAATGAGATAATGAGATATCCTAAAAAGATGTTCTGATAAGATGTCGCGCGGCCGCATTTGCGGCCGCGCGGTTCCAGGATCTGCATTTTGTAGTCTCTGAGTCTTGGCCGTTGATGGGATTACACGGCTCCAGGGGGCCAGGTGGTGGGTGTGACCCCGCCTACTGGAATTTGGAGGATCTGGGTGGAGGATGCTCGACCCCAGTCCGAGTAGGCTTGGAGATCTCGGCCCTGGAACCCGCGTGGCTTTGTCCCTCTGCCAGTACCTTCATGTGTGCGGAGAGTGGTCTCAGCATGGTGGTGGCTGGTCCTGGAGGTCTTCGGCTGCCGGAGCCCTGGTCGGGGTGGGGAGGAAAGCTCAACCCGCTCCCCTCCAAGGGACCCCGGCGAGGAACAGCCAGGCACAGGGGCAGGAGACTGACTGTACTGGTCTCGTCCGGGATCTGCATTTTGTTTCATTATTTCATTATTTCCCACTTTATTCCTATACACATTGCCAGAATTTCTACCTGAATTTACCATATGTCTACCTGAGTATGACTGGGATAAAGCACTGGATTTCATGCCAGGTTTATAAGAAAATATCCCTGCTTTAAGGATCTTAATAAACACTAAGATTTAAACATGGGAGACAAATATGAAAACAAATAAGTGCTTGATCACTTGATATCCCATTACTCATCGATTTTCTCGATTGTCCGCCAGTAACGTCTCCATTCATCCATGTCGCATGCTAGTGTAGCCCAATGGAATCTGTTCATTTTAGGAACATGAAGAGCCTCAAACTGATCGATCAGGGTCTTGACGAAGAAGTCTGACCATCTCATAGGTGGGCAGCCATGTGATCTTTTGACGTCCTATGGAATCCAGTTTGTAACAGCTCTA